CCATCCACCACCAGGACAGAGACTGTGGGGATGAAACTGTTCTGCATCCCGACTGTGGCAGTGCATCCACAAACCTACATGTGATAAGACTGTGCAAAAATACATACACGCACAAACGAGTACAAGAAAAGCTGGAAAATCTGAGTAAGACTGGTGGATAGGTATCAACGTCACTCTCCTAGTTGTGATATCACACTCCAGTCTCGCGAGATGTTACAATTGGAGGAAACTACGCAATGATTGTTGGATTTCTGTATTATTTATTTCAACTGCATGTAAATCTACAGGTATCTCAAAAGTAAAGTTTAACTTATAAAAAGTTAAAATGTTTTTTCAAAGCATACCAGTCAGGGAATGAGGGAATTAAGGTGGAAGGGGGCATCTCCCAAAAAACAAAAGACACGAAGAATACTTCAGCTAAGACAAGGTCTTTTAAATTACAGTCTCTGGGTCATCTACATAGAAATTCCTGGGACAGTGTTAAAAGGGCAGAATCCTGAGCGCAATTCAAGATCTACTGAATTACTAATCAAAAAACACTGCTGTTTACTTTTACAGAATCAGATTCTCTGAGGATGGAGGCCAAAATGTGCTATGTTATCAAGCTCCCAGGTGGCTCTTATGTTTACCATGATGAGGTATGGGGTACAAGAAACGGTAGTTGTGAGAAAAGAACAGAAAGGAAAATTTGGGTAAAATCAGATGCCTCCAATAACACCTAACATCAGACTAAATATTTCCAGTGATTTAAAAAAAAAATTTGAAGAAGAAATTGTTCATATTGATTGCAACGGATAGAAAATTCTCGCTAATAAGGCAAAATTTGCCACCTATAAATTTCTCCTTTGAGACTGATTTCCAAACTCAGCAGCAATATATAATAAATCTACTCCTTTTTAAACAGGACAGATGATCAGATATTTGAAGACAGTCAACCTGTCCCTGAATTCTGTACACTAGAGTATAAGGAATTTTTTGCCAACTCTGTTATTTTTGAGACCTTTTATTATTCTATTCACCCTCGTGTAGATACCCTGTTTTTTCTTAAAGGTTCGATTCTATTGACATCTTATGCTTAACTCATACTTTGTGTCATTCAAAAATTTTCAAGTATGTTATCTATGGATTCTCCCAAGTCTCTGGCTAGATGCTGAGTAGAAAAGAAAAGGATTGAAGGTAAGCCCCAAAAAGCACTAGAAACTTAGTACTTTAGTTGGTCAACATCACCCAACTAAACACAGATTTGAGGGTGGGACTGCTTATCTGGCTACAGAATACAGAACTACAATGTCAACATGACAAAAGACAAAAGGGTCAGATCACCTAATTTCATTTTCTATCTGAGCAACTTCCAATTTTATAACTCTGAGGAAGACACTGAACTGCTCTCATTGTGGTTTTTAGAAATTAAAATACAGGGCAAAATGGACTTAGTGAAGAGAAGATAGCTAGTAAAGAAAAAAGCTCCAAAGATCTACAAGGAACTCAAACGTGCCGAAAGGAAAAAAACAAAAAGCTCCTTTAGAAAGTGGGCAAAAGACATGAATAGACATTTCTCAGAAGAAGATACACGGGCAGCCAACAGACACATGAAAAAGTGCTCAGCCTCACTCATCATCAGAGAAGTGCAAATCAAAACCACAATGAGATACCACCTAACCCCAGGAAGAATGGCCATCATCAATAAACAACAGATGCTGGTGAGGATGTAGAGAAAAAGGAACACTTCTACACTGCTGGTGGGAACGCAAACTAGTGCAACCTCTTTGGAAGACAGTGTGGCAGTATCTGAAAGAACTAGAAAGTGACCTTCCATATGACCCAGCAATTCCCCTATTGGGAATATACCCAGAGGAACTCAAATCACTCTACAAAAAAGATACCTGCACACGTATGTTTGTTGCAGCTTTAGTCATAATAGCAAAAACATGAAACCAACCATGTTGCCCATCGAAGCTGGACTGGATAAAGAAAATGTGGTACACATACACAGTGGAATATTATGCAGCCACAAAGAAGGACAAATATAAGCAACTTGAATGGATTTAGAGTCTATCATACTCAGTGATCTATCACAGAAACAAAGAACAAAGTACCATATGTTCTCACTCCTAAGCGGACCTTGAACAATTATAATACTATAAGAAAGCGTTTGACAGTAATGGGAAACTGTCAGGGGAGGGGGATTGGGATTGGCAGTTGAGGGAAACTGCTAGGGGAGGGAGGGGCATACCTCATCAACAAGGGTACCTGCATAATCAATGTTTGTATACCTAACCCTGAATTGTACCCCACATCTTTATAATAAATAAATAAATAAATAAATCAGAAAAAGGTTCTAAAAGCATGAAATTATAATTAAGATCTAATAAAGATGTAACACTTATTTTAACATTTTTCTCTGCCGTGAAGTACAAAATCAAGATATTTTATTTGAAATCCTACCTTTCAACTAGTTTTAAAATGGGGCAGTATTTCATATTTTCTGACTGTCAAACTTTTTGTCAAGCAAAATCTTACGTGGAATCCTAATATATTAAATAAGTAAAAGTGAAATTGCTTGAACCATAATTAAAGTGTAAAACTCTGACCTCCAAAACTCCACATCCTCCTGATTCTTGCAAAGGAACCCTAGGGTTCAACAGACTATAGACTGAATGCCACAAGTCTAGCATAGGTATGTGTTCCAGTATCCAACAGACAATAGTCTACAGTCCGAAAGCCACAATTCTAACACAGGTACAAGTTCCAATATCCAGTAGTCAATAGACTACAGTCCGAAAGCCCCAAGTCCAACATACGTACACATTCCTATATCCAACAGTCAACAAAATACAATCCGAACACTACAAATCTAACAAAGGTACACGTTCCAATGCCCAATAGTCAACAGACTACAGTCCAAAAGCCACAAGTCTAACATATGTACATGTTCCAATATCCAACAGACAACAGACTATAGTCCGAACACAAGTCTAACACAGGTACATGCTACAGTGTCCAACAGTGTATTCCCATACACGTGTAAAGAAACGATGGCTGCCTGTTTTGTGCTATTTGCTAAAGGCAGTATTTTTAAATGAAGTTGGTACATAACATTTAATTTTGTTCATTTCATCGTATTTTACACCATACTTCTGTAAGACAGAAAAATAAGTTATATCCATTATTGTTTTAACTGTAAAGGACCATTTCAGTTGACCTGAGTCTTTTCTAGTCCTGAGACCCGTGATACTCTCTTATACAAGTACTTTCACATCTCTGATTTCTTTATAACTTCCCTTTATCATATCTCCGTCTTAGAACTGTTACGATGGATTAAGGACTCAGTATGAAAAAAGATGTCAACAGATGTGAAACTTAGGAGCAGTGGCCCTCTATTTGCCAGTCTATGTCTAGGGCAGTGTTTTTCAAACTCTTTTGATCATGGTCCACAATAAGAAGTACATTTTACATCATTACCAAAAACTGAAACAAGAGCTTCACAAAACAATATTTACCCAAACTATTTTCTTTATAATTTTTTCTTTTTTAGAGACAAGGTCTTACTCTGGTTGCCAGGCTGGAGTACAGTGGCACAATCCCAGCTCACTGCTGCCTTAACCTACTGAGTTCAAGCAATATTCTGACCTCAGCCTCCCCAGTGGCTGGGACCACAGGCACATACCATCATACCCGGCTACTTTATTATTATTATTATTTGTAAAGACATGGTTTTACTATGTTGTATAGACTGGTCTTGGATTTCTGGGCTCAATCAATCCTCCCACCTCAGCCTCCTGAGTAGCTGGGACTACAGGAGCACACCACTACCCCCAGCTGCCCAAACTATTTTCTGTATTATTTTATCCTAATTAATCTTTTAAGGCACGTTATGATCTACTTAAATAATTTTACAAACCATTGATCTTGACTGCCATTTGAAAATCACTAGTTAGATCAGGATGGACAAATTTTTTCTGTTAAGGACTAGATAGTAAATATCACAGGCATTGTAGGCCACATACAGTCTGTTGCAACCACACAGCTCTGCTGTGGGAGGGTGAAAGGAGTCACAGACAGCATGAAAACACAAGCATGGCTGAGTTCCAATAAAACTTTATTGACAACAGGTGGCAAGCTGGATATGGTCTGTGGCCATGGTTTAACAATCTCTGGTCTATATTATAGTATATTGAGCTACTCTGTAATGAGCAGTTGAGGTGGTTAACATCTCCACATTACTGATGAAACACCTAGAGTACGCAAAGGTTTCACTGATGTACCAAACTACTGGGTGGCAGACAGGTCCATGGCATCACAGTATAATGCTTTTCCCTTCTATACTGCCCCAGACATGAGAGAGGCACTGTTGAAGAGTTTTAGATGAACTGCTATGAGTCTGAGCAATATTTGGCACAACATGACACTAACCCATACTGTACTCACTCATTCATCCAATAGACCAAGAGTATACTACTTGTGTTAACTACCAGGCAAATTCATACAATTAACTCTTAACTAAATCAGAGGGGATAAACTACAGTTTAAAAATAAGAGAAAATGATTGTGAAAAAAACAGTAATAATAACATCACTGAAAATCTGAAAATTTGCACATTTTAAAAAGCAATTACTTCTGAACTCCACAGCAAATCAATAATACATCATCACCTCCATTCCAAAAAAGGAGTACTCTCTCATCCTCAATACCAAGTTTAATACTTCTTTTTTTATGTTGCTATTGGATAGTGACTTAGGACTTCATGTGTTGTACCAATTTTTTTTTTAATTGAGATGGAGTCTTGCTATGTTGGCCAGGCTGGTCTCAAGCTCCTGGGCTTAAGCAATCCTCCCACTTCAGCCTCCTAAAGTGCTTGGACAACAGACATGAACCAACATGCCTGGTTGTACCAATTTTGAACCGTTTTTTTTTCACCTTTGATTTGAAGTTATCCATAATTTTCTTTCTACTTAATTTCCAAATTATTGAAGAGAGAACTGCATGAAGAAAAAACTTACCTTTCAGATTGAAGCTTAGTGGTTTTTACTATTAAATCTTGAGTCTGTTCCTTTGCCGCCTGAAATTACAAACATATCTATCAGTACACTCCAATTTTATTGTCATTCAGAAAACTGAGAAAACAGCAAATGAGATCACGCTACGGAACTCAAAAGTTTGAAATAAAGAAATGAAATGCGCAGAGGTTTCAAGGTTCCTGCACTACTTCAACAAGAGAACCCATTTGGAGTTCGCAATACCCACATGATGTCAAGGCTTCCAGGAAAGGAAAGGTGTCCAAAAGCCAACTAAGGATCTCATGGAGCTTTTTAGTGCAACTGAAGCACTCCAGCAAGCGAAGGATGAAGAAGCATGGCTTCAGTCTCGGCTGTGTCAAGCTAAGATGCCATGAGATCTCTGAATGGGGTTGTAAATTAAGTCATGGACATGCTGGCAGGGAGCACAATAAAAACTTATGAGCTGGAGATAAATTTGAGAATCGAAGTATTAAAAACTACCTGCCTTCCAGGGTTTGGCTCCCTCCCCCAGCCAGAGGTGAAAGGATCGGGAGTGAAAAAGTCAGCCAAAAAGCACTCAGCCCAGAGATCAGACAAACGCTTGTGAAAGGGATTCACGCAAAAGGCAAGCGCAGCCAATGAGATTCTCTCTTAAGGGCCCAAACCGGGGAGCATCACAAGAACAAGTAAGTGATGAGAAGAGAAGCACTTGGTCACGGGGGCAGGGAGACACACGGTGCATGTCTGGAAGAAATATCGCATGAGCCAGGATTGCGCGTACATTGAGTCACTAGTAAACGGAAACTACGAAGAAGATACAGACACAGAAAACAGAAAGTGAGTCAGTCTGTAAAAGAGAAAATACCAGACCAGACACAAAAAAATCACTGGATCATCTTCAAGCTGAAGCAACACAAGAAGAGCCAAGCTTCTGCTGCTGAGGTTTCCGTGTACCTAAGATCCAGACGCCCCAAGTTCTGAGTTGTAAAGGCCTGATCTTTCACAAACGCTGTTCTCAGACTGTCACTAAAATACTGCCTCAGGCATCCTGCCAATAGCAGAGCCCCAAGTCCCATCTCCAGCAAAGCTATTTTGAGTCTGTGTTCCTTGCAAGCAAACTGTGTGCCTACCAAAGAGATTTTTTTTAAGAAAACATATTTAAACCTAGATAATTCAGCACACTCCTGATTTTTCTTTTTATCTTTTTTTTTTAGGTTGGAGTCTCACTCTGTTGCCCACTTGGCGTGAGAGTGGCACGCTCACGGCCACCCCAGCGTCGACCTGCCAGGCTCTGGCAATCCTTCCACCTCAGTCTTCCAAGTAGCCAGAACTACAGGCATGCACTACCACGCCCTGGCTAATTTTTTTTATTTATTGCAGAGACAAGGTCTCACCAAGTTGCCCGGGATGAACTCGAACCCGCAGGCTCAGAAAGTTCACTCACCTCGGCCTCTCAAAGTGCTAGGATCCCAGGCTAAGTCACAGAGCCCGGCCACTCCTGACTTTTAAGGAATGGAGTTGAACACAATAGCTCCCAGTACTCTAGAATTATCAGGCTCAAATCCAAAAACTTCTTCAAATACTTATATCGTCTCATTTCATTTTGCTTTAAAGTTCCACTTCCACCCTTGCACGTTCTTGCCTTATCCAATTTTCCAGGTATACAATTTGCTCAATTCTAAGAAACACTCATATTTTAACACTTCTGGAAAAGATGAAGGCTTTACAAAGTCAATATTAAAAGCCATTTACTAGCTTAGTCTTAGTCCCAGTCATTATTAAACGGATAGCGTATCTCACAAGACCACCTATTATCCAGTGAAATATAATACATTAGCACAATGTTATATGATAAGAATTTGTGGCTGGGCTCAGTGGCTCAGTCTGTAATCCCAGCACTTTGAGAGGACAAGGAGAGTGGATTGCCAGAGCCCGCGGGTTCGAGACCAGCCCGGGCAACTTGGCAAGACCTCGTCTCTACAATAAAATAAAAAATAGTCGGGTGTGGTAGCGGGCAACTGTAGTTCCAGATACTTGGAAGGATGAGGCAAAAGGATCGCTAGAGCCCAGAAAGGCCTTTGTCAGACATGGAGTTGGCAAATACTTTTTCCCAGTCTGTGGGCTGTCTCCCTGCTCTCTTGATGGTTTCTTTGGTTTTGCAGAAATTTATCAGCTTAATGAGGTCCCAGAAAGTCGACGCTGGGATGGCCGTGAGCATGCACTCCAACTTGGGCAAAGAAGTGAGACTCCAACTCAAAAAAAAAAGCATTTGTAAATCTTGTTTGCATATTTCCTGATTCTTCATTTGTAAACTGTGGTAAGGATTCCTAAGCAATGTTTATTAATACTAGCAAGGATTATCAAACAATTTCCATTTAATTTACCTTAAATAATAATAAGGATGACTATTGTTCATTACATAATAAACATGCCCTAATGTATCCAAGCAAACCCACAAAACAATAAACAATAGCATATATAAAATTACTGATTAAATCTTTAGATGTTATCTCATAATAAAAATAATTTCTAAAAGATCACATATTCAAAGCATCTTAAAAAATATTAAGTAACTAAATCAATCATCATAACCCTCTACAATGAAAAGGAGGGGTGACACGCCACAAAATACTTTTCTTTATGAGTAAATAAATTTAACACATGGCTTTAGAGCTGACAATATGAGCGTGTCCATAACAGCATACCCAAATAAATTAGTTTTAAGTAAAATCAGAAGGAACGAACAAAGTCCTCAAAATCATGACTCTAATCTCTGTTGATCTTACAAATGATACATGCACCAAAAATGAATGTAACAATGGGCAGTGTCAAATATTTTTAAACGATTAAAAAGCTATGAGGGAATCATTTACAAGTAATGAAAACATTCTATGTCTTGATTATGGTGACTGTTTCATAGGTGTTTAAAACTATCAAACATTTCAATTTCAACACTTCAAATAAATGCAGTTTATTAGTGTATATATCCTCAATAAAGTTAATATTAAAAAGAAAAAGAAAAAAAATAGACCCACACTACTGTAGAAGGAAAAATGGCATGCAGGTTAGATGCAAAAAAAAAAAAGGACAAAACAGGAGACACTTATAAACTGTTTGAAAAATATTATCACACAAAGAATAAAAACACAATCTTTTGCACTTAAAAATAGCTATAATGAAGAGAATAAAAATATAATTAAGGGTAAGAATTAGAAAATAAGAGGTACTACCAAAAATAACAGGAAACTGAGTAACCCACTATAACACAAAACATAATATTAACATGACCAAAAAATCACAAAAGTAAAATCATGGAAAACCTTACAGAGTAGAATTTGAGAAGACTCTAAGTCATGGGAGCTAGAAGATGAGAAAAGAAAACAAAGAAAAAGAATATTCAGACAAAATAGATATGTGCAAAAAATGTGAAATGGCAATAGTGATTAGCAAATACTACATAATTACTTAAATATTATAAAATTAAAGATCTGGCTAGGCTCATGCCTGCAATCTCAGCATTTTGGGAGGCTGAAGCAGGAGGACGGCTTGAGCCTAGGAATTTGAGACTGGCTTGGGCAACATATCAAGACCTCATTTCCACAGGAAAAAAAATTAAAAGATAAGCTGGGTGTGATGGCATGCACTTGTAGTCCCAGTTACTTGGGAGGCTGAGACAGAGATCATTTGAGCCTGAGAGGTCAAAGACTGTGAAGAGCCGTGATCGTGCTACTGCGCTCCAGCCTGGGCAAGAGTCAGACCCTGAATCAAAAGAAAAGAATAGTAAAGTAAAGTAAAAAAGTAAAACAAATAAAGTAAAATAATGAAATAAAATAAAACAAAAATTAAAAATAAATGTGATGGTTACAACTGGCCCTTAAGGAGAATTAGTTCTGTCACTTCTCCAAAATTAGATGAATGAGCAAAATCAGGTCAAATGCTAATTCTATAGCCAAACTAGAGGTTGGGATTGTTTTAATAAACAGAGTTAAATTTATATATATATATATATTCCTGGAATTTCTTTAGGCTAAGCATGAAGCAGAATTAAGCAGGGTCTTAACCAGGCACAGCTTTAGTGTGAACTTATTCCTAAGGCTTCTACTAAAAAAAAAAAAAAAAAACCCATTCCTGCTGAACTTCTGGGCTATGATGGAATTGAAAGGTTTATTAAAACTCTACAGTTAGCTCTGACTGGCCAGACCAAATGAGAAAGGCTCTGGAGTTAACTGAACAGTGTTAATAACCATCACCCAAAAAAACACACAGACATTCATAGTTAAAAAAAATAAGCGTACTATTTATATTCAAGCATCCTAAAGGGCATGGCATATTAGAGATCCATACAACAATTAGATTGCAAACCCACCTAATAACTTTTTCAAGTTTACACAGCAGGAATGATGTTAAATCTAGCCACTATAGAATACCTGGAGGCGACAAGTCATATCTTGACAACAGTTGCTCATGGCTTGCACGTCCTCATTTATGCTTTCCAGTTCCTGAAAAGGAGAAAGATAACATCACAAACATGGTATGCACAGTGAGAAGATTCTCTTCTCTTAGCCAAATCTTTTAGTCCCATGGATCTTTTGGTCAAGGTATGACAAGATATTCCATATTTAATACTGGAAATGATTAAAAAGAATAATACCTAGTATTAGAAAATATGTAAAGAAATTAGTCCATTCCTTTTAGGGGGTATGACAATAGGAAATGGCGAGGGTTTAAAAATATGAGTATCTCTTTATTCAATAATTCTTTTTTTTTTTTTTTTTGAGTCAGAGTCTCTTCCGCATCACCCAAGCTGGAGTGCCGTGGCACACTCACGGCCACCCCAGCGTCGACCTGCTGGGCTCCGGCAATCCTTCTGCCTCAGCCCTCCAAGGAGCCAGAACTACAGGTGTGCGCTACTGTGCCCAGCTTTTTTTTTTTTTTATTTTATTGTAGAGACAAGGTCTCGCCAAGTTGCTCAGGCTGGTCTCAAACCTGCAGGCTCAGGTAATCTACTCACCTCAGCCTCCCAAAGTGCTAGGATTACAGGTTGAGCCACCAAGTCTAGCCTATTCAATAATTTTAATGAGAATTTATCCTACAGAACTAATCAAATAAGTGTGTAGCATTATACATACAAGCATGATCAACATAGAGCTGCCTTAAAAAAATGGAAACGTGAAACATTTCCAACCACATAATGGAAATCTGTACATACATTAACTATGATAATGTAGATATATGTTTATGGATTGATAGCTACATAAAATAAAAAAAGAAAATCATAAAATAATACATATGAGGAGGACTAAAAAAAACCCAGAATTACCTTTTGGAGGGTACAGGTTTCAGACTTCCCCCACTAGGTAAGTGTTCTAGGAGCCCATTGGCATCAGTGTATCAGCTAGTGTTGCTGTGAGAGGTTGTGTTCTCTCACAACATTTTTTTGGGAGACTGTTTCAATGCGTTTGCCCATTTCATAATGGGTGATTTCCAAGCATACCTGCCCATGCTGTGCTACGTATTCAGCAATCTTTGACCAAAAACAGCAGAACTCCCATGTCCCACCCTACGTATCACCTGATCTCACTCTGAGCATTTTTGTTTGTTTGTTTCCCCAATGAAAAAAGTCCTCAAAAGGAAATGTTTTACCAATGTGGAAGAGGTGAAACAAAAAACAGCAGAAGCACTCAAAGGCATCGTTCAAAAACTGTTTTCAGCAGTAGAAAAAGCATTTCAACAGGTGTACTGCATAAGGTGGGGACTACTTTGAAGATGACTGAAGTTTAAACATGTAAGGATCACTTGAGCCCAGCAGGTCAAGGCTGCTGTGGCTGTGAACGTGCCACTGCACTCCAGCCTGGGCAGCAGAGTGAGACTCCGACTCAAAAAAAAAAAAAAAGAAGACAAACTAAACACATCGGGATAAATACACAATTTTTAATAAATAACTTGTTTTTTTGGGGGGCCCCCATGTATACTATCTCCACATTTTTTAGAAAAAATAGGTATTTGTATACAGAAGAACATAAAAAAGCCATGCAATTAAATACTGACAATAGTTATTTCTGGGTGCTACAGAGTCATAACCAATTATTTTTTCTATTTCTGACCTTATTATCTATCTTTTCTTTCATGAGTTATTTATAAATTTTAATCAATAAAAACAAGCCAATGTGAAAAACAAATAAGCTAATAACAGTGCCTCTTCCAATCATGTTCAAAGTCATCACAGATCATCTGATAACATTCTCTCCCTATCTATTTTCACCAACCTCCGCAGACACACGCTTAATTGGTCTCTAAATCCGATCATGATACCCCTTAATGCACATGACTTATCCACCTCTTTTTTACCATCTAAACAGTCACTACGTTATTGGCTGCTGTTATCTCTCGCATGGACTGATTTTTAAAAGCCTTCCAACTGGGAGACCAGGCTCTGTGTTCAGCCTAAGTCACCCTCTACTCTTCACTAAATCAGTGACTTAATATAAAATATGACCATATCACAAAAGAATAACTAGTGTCACACGGCACTATTGTCTTCTTTTACTCAATTCGATTCGGAGCCACACAATAGAAAAATGTGAGGAAGGAACGTTTCAGGGGAGGACCGTGTCTTACCGCAGTCCCTGCCAATACAAAGCCAGACCTTGAAATAGAAACAGGCAGTTTTATGAAGGCATAGGCCAATTAGGGCAAGAGATATGATAGTAGTCAAGAGTCAGGCACAGTAGCTCATGCCTGTAATCCCAGCACTCTGGGAGGCCGAAGTGGGTAAACTGTTTGAGCCCAGGGGTTCAAGACTAGCCTGGGCAGCATAGCAGGCTTGCCCCTACAAAAAATGTAAAAATTAGCCAGTCATGCTAGTACACACCAATAGTCCCATCTACTCGGGAGGCTGAGGCAGACGGATCACCTAGGCTAGGAGGTCAAGACTGTGATGAACCATGACCATCCCACTGCACTCCAGCCTGGGCAACAGAGGGAGACTCTGATGTTTTTAAAAACAATTTTGTAAAAGCAGTCAAGGAGAGCTATATAAACTAAAGGTGAGGTTTACAAAACGCAGAGATTTGGTAAATTATAATTAAAAGACCTTTATGTTGCTTGTATTGTAAAGTCTTTATTTGAATTTATATCAAACAGGCTTCTTTTCCCCTCAATTACACCAAAAATTTTTTTCTATGAAAATTTTCAAAAGCAGGATAATATGAACACCCAGGTACCCATCACCCAGCTTCAACAAGACACTCACAACCACTCTTGTTTATCTATCTACTCACTTTCTAGTTCTCTCCCTCTCCACTTTCTCTCTCCCCTACAAACTGAATTGAAGCAATTCCAGATATCATGTCACTTCATCTATAAACATATTAGTATATATTTCTAAGAGGCTTCTAAAAAATAACATCTTCACATATAAACATTTAGCAATAATCTCTTAACATCATATCTCTAGTTAGTGTTCAAATTTCCTCACTAGCCTCAATTTTGTAATAATTTGTTTAAATCAGAAATCAAATAAAAGTCAATAGCAATTGATATTTCTCTCTCTTTTTCTTTTTTTTTTTTTTTTGAGTTGGAGTCTCACTCTGTCGCTACAGGTGCACGCTAACACGCCCGGCTAATTTTTTTATTTTATTGTAGAGATGAGGTCTCGCCTGCCCAGGCGGGTCTCAAACCCGTGGGCTCAGGCAATCCACTCACCTCAGCCTCCCAGAGGCACGGGATTACAGGCTGAGCCACAAGCCTGGCTTCTCTTTTGTTTTTGTTTTTGAGTTGGAGTCTCACTCCATCACCCAGGTTGGAGAGCAGTAGCACACTCAACGGCCACCCCCAGCCTTGACCTGCTGGGCTCCTGCAATCCTTTCGCCTCAGTCTTCCAAGTAGCCAGAACTACAGGTGCATGCTCCATGCTCAGCTAATATTTTTGATTTACTGTAGAGATGAGGTCTCACCATGTTGCCCAGGCCGGTCTCGAACACGTGGGCTCAAGCAATCCTTTCTCCTCGGCCCCCCAAAGGGCTGGGATTACAGGCTTAAGTCAACACGCCCGGTCAATATTTCTCTTATTCAGTTACTAATTCTCTTATCAAAGTCTTTTTGAGTCTCTACAGAGTCTCACTCCTCCCTATTTTTCTTTTTCTTACAATTTACCTGTTGAAGAAAACAGTTCACTTCCTTGTACAATTCCCAACATTCCAGATTTTGCTGACTGCATCTTCATGACATCACCATTTCTCTCTATCCCCTATATTTCCTATAAACTGGCAGTTAGGTCTACAAGCTTGATATACCATGTTCTATTTTCTGGCAAATATTTTCATGCCTGATATTGTATATTTATCAGGAGTCACATACTTGGTTTTTTTTTTCTTTTGTGAGGCTAGCAGCTAGCCAAATCAGTGTTTCTCAGCCCTGGTGATTTTGCCCCATATGGGAGCACTTGGCCATGTCTGCAGGCATTCTTGGTTGAACGACTGGTGGACGAGGTGTTCCTACTGGCTTCTGGTGGGCAGAGGCCAGGGATACTGCCAAATATCCTACAGTGCAAAATACAGTCCCCAGCAAGTATCTGGCTCAAAATATGAATAATGCCAAGGCTGAGAAACTCTGAGCTAGATCCATCAACTCAACAGCAACTGCAAAACCTTCTAATCTTTCTTTTTTTTTTTAAGTGAGAAAGCAGGATTTATTGAGAAGACAGAGAAGCTCCCACAGTGGGAGGGGACCCAAAGGGTTTGCTCATCTGATCTTTAAATCTGACCATTTCTTCCAGTTGGACTAATTCTAAAAAATGTTTCTAAATTTTTTTTTAACATTTCTAAATTTTACCAAAAAAAGTCTTAAAAAATCTCCCCTCAACAACTGAAAGTATCTGGCACACACACACAAAAAAACCAAAAAAATAAGGTAAGCGCTTGACCCTTTTTCCTTTTATTTACAAGTTTCAAAATAATAAGTTGGTTCCTTTATATCCACCACAGAAAGTCAATGAGGGTTCTGCCCTATATTGTTAAGAACTCATGAACTTCAGGTTTGATATATTTCAGCCCACTGCAGTTAGTCTTATAAATGCTCTATCTGTCCCATCTTTGGCCAATATAAGCCTTGTTATCTCCAGACACTTATCCAATAGTCTCAGATAGCATTCTTGTTTCTGGTACTGATAAGATTCTCATTTCAGTTGAAAATGGTGTTTAAAAGGTTCAGGCAGGCCAGGCACAGTGGCTCAAGCCTGCAATCCCAGCACTTTGGGAGGCCAAAGTGAGGGGATTACCTGAGCCCACAGGTTCAAGAACAGCCTAGGCAACTTGGTGAGACCTCATCTCTACAATAAATCAAAAACTTAGCTGGGTGTGGTAGCATGCACCTGTAGTTCTGGCTACTAGAAAGGTTGAGGTGGAAGAATCACCTAAGCCCAGCAGGTCCAGGCTGCAGTAGTTGTGAGCGTGCCACTGTACTCCAGTCTGGGTGACAACTCAAAAAAAATAAAAGAGCCAGGCATGGTGGTGCACACCTGTAGTCCCTGTTAATTGGGAGGCTGAGACAGGAGGATCACTTGAGCCCAAGAGTTCAAGGTCATAGTGCACTATAATAGCTCCTGAGACTAGCCATTGCACTCCAGCCTGGACAACACAGTGAGACCCTCATCTCTAATGCAATTTAAAAAAAAAAAACTTCCAGATTATTAGACTTCAATCAATGAAATCCTACCAGATTGTTAAAAATAATCTATTTTTATTAAGCACTCACTGAAACCATATGCAACATTTCCATAACTCACACAAAAATGTTATTATGGTGCACTATTAATATAGTTAATAAAATATTACATAATAAATAAGATATAATAACATATAAATAAAAGTTATTTTTATCCTATGGTGAGTAGACTACACTCTTAAAGTATAATGAATAATTATCAGTGCATTGAAATAACATCTTAAACTAAAATCTTCATAATTTAAGATGCAGTAAACAGAACTCAACGCTAATTACTCTCCAATGGAGAAGTGGTTATCCGCTTTCTAACAGAAAGTCATTTGGAGAAATGTTACTTTTTGTTAAGAAAACTAAAGTTCTTAAGATAACCTTCTAGAACAATATCACAACTTTCTATGAAGTAGTATTAATGGAGGTCACAGATTTAGAAATCACACTAATCCGATAAAGACCCAGATGCACCAAGAGTAAGTGCTAAGTTTTCTGTCTGGACATGGAATTTGAATGCAAACATATCAACCTAATTAAAAAAAAAATATTGAGCACAGAGCAGGCGTAAATTCTCAATAAATGGTAAGCGAAAAATGTTTACGTACCTCCTTCACTTCCTTGAAAATGCTTACAAATTCCTCATTGATGGCTAAACTTCTACGTTCAATATCTCCACGTAAATTTCTTCGAGTCCGCAAACTATTTTCAACAAAAAAGGATGAAAGTGCCTTGAGAGCTTCCAGCATTTCCTACACAATGAGTAACAGAAGATGGTTACAGGGACCAATTTTTGAGTGTTTTTCTAGTCTCAAGCCAAAATGTAACAGAATCACTTTGAACTAATTTGTTTCCATTAAACAATCCAAAAAATATTGGATGAGCTTCAAATTACTCTAGAACACAGTAAGGATATACTCATTTGTGTACAATGGTGTGTGTGTGTGTGTGTGTGTGTGTGTGTGTGTGTGTGTATGGTATGTGTGCGTGTGTGTGTGGTGTGTGTGTGTGTGTGTATGTGTGTGTATAAGGTTATTCACTGAAGAATTGTTTGGAATTGCAAAGATTGGAAAAAATCTGAAAGCTCATTTTAAAGGAACTGGTTAAATAAATTATATGAAATATCTATTTTTATTTTATTTTATTTTATTTTATTTTATTTTATTTTTTTGAGTTGGAGTCTCACTCTGTTGCCCAGACTGGAGTGCAGTGGCCGCTCCCGGCCACCGCAGCCTCGACCTGCTGGGCTCCGGCGATCCTTCCACCTCAGCCTTCCAAGTAGCCGGAAATACAGGCATTCGCTACCACGCCCGGCTGATTTTTTTATTTATTGTAGAGATGAGGTCTTGCCGCCCAGGCAGTTCTCAAACCCGCGGGATCAGGCAATCCACTCACCTCAGCCTCCCAAAGGCGCGGGATTACAGACTGAGCCACCGAGCCCGGCTAAAATATCCATTTTTAAAAAGAAGAAAATCATGTATTTACAAAGCATGAGTTTTGAAATATGGTAAGTGAAACACCAAGGTATAGAAACAGTTATAATATCAAAGTGTTAAAACATTAGAAAGGACACAAACATGCATATTTCCTTGAGTTAACACAAACTCTCTCTGGAAGGCTCTACATAAGAAAAAGTCCCACCAGTGGCCTCCAGGATAGGAACTGAGTAATTGGAAGCAAACCTTAGAATAGCTGAGAGGAAAAGGCCTCTCTGGGGTGACTTCAACAGAGGCCTGAGGGTAGGTAGGAGCCAGGACTACAGGCAGAGCCTTCCTCGGACAAGAAACAGGGGGACAAGGAGCCCAAAGCAGAAGGAAGGACCAAAGCCACGAGAAATCATTATGGTTTCAAGCAGGGGCAACATGATACAAAATTCATTCCAACTCTGAACGGAGAATGAAGAGCAGAGGGGTGCAAGAGAGGGAAGCAGGTAGGAGAAAACTAAAAAAACGCAGCCCAAGCGGAGAGTGGCTTCAACCAAGGTGATTGTCACACAGATGAAAAAGGAGAGAGTCCAAACTGTGTTCTTCAAGGTGGAGAGCAGAATGTGTTGAGGGGGTGAATGTGGATGTGGAAAAAAAGCCACAGGACCAAAAGTTACTCATACACTTCTCGCTCCGGGGGATGGATACAGGGGAATGCTCTCTAACCAAAGTAAAATCAGCTTAGGGTGAAACACCAACAGTCTGCCATGCTGAGCGTGAATGATGACGTTCAGGTGTCCAGTTGGAAGTGTCACAGAGACAACTGATGCTGCAAAGCAGAGACTGTCAGGAACAGGTTTATAAACCTGACAGTCATCGCGTTTCTTGCTATTCAAAACCACGAAAGGAAAAGATTGCTCCTACAGAGAGAACACTGATAGAGGAGAGAGCAGAGGACCCGGCCCAGAATCCCCTAATTTTACAGATATCAGTGTCTACACCTCAACTCATACATATTCTAGCAGGCTTATCCTTTCGTGTTTCTGCTACACTGTTGGGAGCCAACATCTATAGCTACATGGCTAAGGCCTGTAAAGGCCCATCTGGAAGATCGCCTCTGACATAGGATATCAGTTATACCTATGATATTGGCGTGTGATTGGTGACCAGTGTGCATACATGGCAGTAAAACTTATAAGTGAATCG